GCTCAAAATGCAAGTCGAAGTTCCTTCAAAATTGTTATTGAATTTGGGCAGAAATATGATGTGAACTTTGAAACAGCAAATTCCGGGTCTTTCTTATTACCTTTCCCACTCTATTCCCATCCCTCCCAGAATTTCAAATCGACTCCCTCCTCCCACGTAAGCAAATACTCACTTTTTCGATTAACCATCGAACTGGTTTATCGGCTTCGCCGTCCATAAGTCAGTCGTTTTTATTCTTGCTATTTGCTTCTCCTCTTCAATCCTATAAATGGGGCCCCTTTACTTCAAGGATGTGCATGTATTCGTGGTCTGAGAAGTAGATAATGTTATGTGTAGACTTTTAGCGTATTTAGTTTAAGCGTACGAAATGGGCGCAAAATTGAGCTTCCCTAGGCGTCCAACACCAAAATTCAGTGTTTTCGTTGTCATCAGTGCACCGAATCAGCTCTCTAGATGAAATGTAGACCAAATTCATTTCTTGAGTTCTTTTTTTGTGGTTTGGGAACGTTGTATTGTGGCTCCTTTATATTTTTACACATAATTTAACTTTTTTCTCTCTGGTGATATTAACCATTAGTGCGAGCAAAAGTTTTAGAATTATCTCGTTTAAGCCATAACAGTGCGAGATGCGCTCAACCAGGCCATGGATGAGGAGATCAAGAGGGACGACCGCGTATTCTTGATCGGAGAGGAAGTAGCTCAGTATGATGGAGCGTACAAGGTCTGTTCCTTTTGTCGAATCCTTCAGAGGAACTGATTTTGACAAATATTTCCGCCTACAGCTTTCTAGATCTTTAGAAAATGAGTGTGATTAAAGAGTTAGGCAGCGAGACATCATTTATATCATACTATTTTCCCTCCACCCCTGAATTCCTGTTGAGAATTCGAGTTAGTCTCCGTTGCCGTTTTCGAGCAAACATTTACCCATTAAGAAAGGGATCAGCGCTCTTTTGTTTACGTCTGCATTGTGAGCTTTCTTCAGACATAGGCTAGGAGCTGGAAAGCCGAAAAAAAATTCCTGGCACATCAGCAGTGTAGTTTCAGCACCAAGTGTTTTCTAATCTTCTTTCATTGAAGCAGTGCTTGCAGGTTTCGAAGGGACTGTGGAAGAAATATGGGGACGATCGAATCATTGACACACCTATCACAGAGCAAGGCTTCACAGGTATATTTACCTATTTTATGTTGGCTGTAGTTAGTAACTTGAGAACAGGTTAATGAGGAAATGTTGTGCCTGTGCATTTTCACCAACTCAGTGGACGATATTATTAATCCATATCACAATCTTCTCTGACAAGGGAGGTCTTTCAGGACATGGAGCGCTTTTTCGAAATGGTTTTCTGCATGTTGTAGGGGCTCATGCGAGGAACACAGAACCATGATCCATTTTTCCTGAATGTCAAAACAGTGGTGAAGAAATGGTCCAGAGTTCGATCCCCGGTGATGACTAATTTTTGCAATATAGTTTGGCGCCCCCAGATTGCCGCCAAATGGCGCCATCGTCGAGAATAGATGTCATTGTCGTGTTTTGCGGCAATTTGGAGGCGCCAACATAAATTGCAAAAATTTGTCATCACGGAGGATCGAACTTTGGACCATTTCTTCCCCGCTGTTTTGACATTCCTGGGGCGTTCAGGAAAAATGGACCATGGTTCTGTGTTCCTCACATGAGCCTCTACAACATTCAGAAACCATTTTGAAAAACGCTCCATGTCCTGAAAGACTCCCCTTGTGAGGTGGTCGTTATAAGGAGAAATTTGCAGTTTCACTAATACAATCTCGAAATCTGTTGAGAGAAAGTTTCGCTTTGCTGTTCACTTATGGGGGTGTTCTACCAGCCAATACGATATTCCTTTTTTAAACTTAAACATTTTGTATCTATTCTGTACCCATTTTTTCACAAGTTCCGACAATTTTTTTGTGAGACTTTTGGGTTGATAAAGAAGATAGTAATAAAAAAATTGGGTCACCTTACCATATTCTGCATCGCTTGCTTGTGATTGAAGTAGAGAAACGCTTTCATTCGTTACTTTTATGCAGTTGTTGGAAACATTAATTTATCTTCTTTTGTATGTTTTTTTATACAGCTTGCATAACCCTTTTATCGAATCCAACCAGTTTCCAGTTTAAAATGGTTTGCATCGCTTTTCCGGGTACTCCGAGAAACAAAGCAATTCGTGTCATTGTCAGGACTCGCTGTCGGTGCCGCTTTCGCTGGACTACGGCCGATTTGTGAATTCATGACATTCAACTTCTCCATGCAAGCTATAGATCAGATGATCAACTCTGCTGCAAAGACCTACTATATGTCAGCAGGAAAGGTGTGTTCTGTTAGAATTGGACTCATGTGGACATTGACCATTCAGCGTGATCGAATCACCATAAAATGTGTATATTCGAAGAAGATTGCTTGGATTTGTTGATGTTAATTGTTCGCCCACGTAGTGCGGCCATCACCTTTTTGCTGTCGTCTATTTTATGCTGAGAATGATAAATTTAGGTGCCGTGTCCAATTGTTTTCCGTGGAGCAAATGGTGCCGCCGCTGGTGTTGCAGCACAACACTCCCAGGACTTCAGTGCGTGGTACGCTCACTGCCCGGGACTGAAAGTGCGTGCCTGAACTTATTCACCAATATGTGGACTATATAATTTTGTGCTCCAACAATTGGTTACACCTAAAACAAACAATTACGACGAACACTGAGGCTTACAACATCTCCTGTTTTCACCATTTTCCGAAATTTTCAAAAATGCACAAAAGTGCACGTTCTCCATGTGCGAAACTCTACTATGTAGTTAGTTGAGGAAAGGCATAAACATTCTATTATGTGTGGAAAATTGCAGGTGCTGGCACCTTACAGCTCGGAGGATGCGAAGGGTCTTTTGAAGGCTGCAATCAGGGATGATAATCCAGGTGAGCGTTTTTTCAAAGGCGTTGTGCTGTTACTGGTAGTGCTATTATTGTGCCTTAGCTCTTTCCTGACCTCTGGTTTGAATTGAACAGTTTTGTCAATTTAGCGTTTCTAAGTCTTTTTGACTCAGTCCGGACCGCTTACCACTCATGGAGTGTCATACTCTCTTTTTTCTATGGGCGCTTTCATAGGCGCTTCCGATCGTAATGATCGCGCAGCATTAGAAAAAGCGCCGA